TTAGGAGTGTTCGGGTCCGTATCGAATCTTTCAGACAATTTGTATGTTGAATAAATTGATGTGAAATACGACCGTAGCAACTGTTGAACAGAGAACAGACAAAGGCCTTTATATCCAGGCTTTATTCAATATGCAAATTGACGTCAGGGGTTGAAAGAACGAGGGGAAGACTTTAGAGCGACGAGTACAGAATAATATAAAACAACAAACAGTTTAATGTAGCAACGATGTTTGTCAAACGCGTTTTACTCCCTTTTTATTACGCACAAGTTTGTGATGAACAACAGACGGGACAGACCCCATAGTCGCGAAGGCCTGCTGTTCCGTGATGGTAACCGGCAACCTGATCCCCGGGACTTAGAGTGGCGAACCACATAAGGCCCCGACAGGTCAAGTGTAGTATCAAACCGGGTGACAGCATAGCTATCTACCACCAAAGTTGGGCGACGGTGGCGGGGCTCGGACCGCAGGGACCAGAGCATGCCGGTGACGGTGACTAAACCACACCACCACTATCCCTGGATCAGGATCACTGTAATCAGTAGTTAGATACAGTGATTGATATGGCGGTTTGTCGTAAAGTAATACCCGTGCTGTTCGATTTCTTTGGTACCTTGATCTACCGGAGTTCTCCATTTTCTCGACTTTTTAGACTTTCCACCCTTTTACCCCCTCATTCATGTGGATAGCCAAAAGAGCAACCAAAACCGGCACACGAAAGTGCAGAATTAGTGATTGTACAAACTGGAACATTGTTTTTTTATTCTATCGCCTATTTTAGGGTGGGAAAAAACACGACGTTGAGAGGTAAAATACTGCAAAAGGAGACAAGAATGTTCAGGTTTCTATTGTTCCTTACACCAATTCGGAAAGTACCAATAGCACTGGTTCTTGAATACACTTTATAATGAGTCAGATCGTTCGACTGGAGGTGAATATGCTGTGTGCAATTTATTTTATAACCATACTTTATCATTTCTCCATGTTCACTTTCTTACTGTTTACCCCCACATTTCTATACTGGACTCGCACCGCACTGAACGTCGCTTTTCCTTTCCATCGTTTGCATTTTCGTTTATGCTCGTCAGAACTCGCTTTGAGGGTTTGGTTTACCTCATTTATCACGATCGTGGGGTTTTAGTCATCTTTGTCAGATTTCTTTCCTTAAATGTCAGTTTTCTATCTTTCCGTCTTCTTTGACCAGGACTGGAAACTTAATCCACTCGTTCTTTGTATTCCCAAACCCCTTTGCTGTAAATCACTGTGTAGTGGAAAAGTTCACGTATCTGAAGATAATTATTCCTTTTGTTTGAGCATACTTAGAATGGAACAATTATTTCTTCCTTTACAGCTGTGATCGATCATAATCGCGTCGCACAATGAGTAAGTGAGACTATATGCGCTATTTTAATGATTTTTACACAATTTCCTACGAAAGATCCATTAGATCCTCCTCCTCCATCTTACAATTACTCGGGTGCTCCAAATCAAACACCATATCCCGCACAGAATTACCAACAAGGAGGAACTGCGGCATACAATTACACCACCGTTCCGAATGCTCCTCCTCAAAACATGACGTCATATCCTGGCGGGGGCTACTATCAACCTCAAGCACAAATGTATCAGCCTGCACCGGCTGGATATATGCAGCCAGTACAACAAAACGCTTTTCCACCGAACGCATCGACTGTCTACGTGCCTCAAGTTCAGTATGATGGTGACGCTCGATTTTCACCCAACTGCCCACCAATCGTTCCGGTACGTCTGGGATGTAGTGAATGTCTTCTCTAAATTTTTTTCATCGCATCAATTACAATTGCGAAAAAATCCCACTGAACTTGAGTGTATATATATATATATGAAATTGTGGTTTCGTTGTCGTCCGGCTCATTGCCACGCATTGACTGTTTGTACTTCATGTGGTGCGCCACTCCAAGTCCAGGGTCTCGGGTTCCCAGATCTCTTGAGTAAACAGTAGGTTCTCGTGACTATGGAATTGATCCATTCTGCTGTTCATCATACAATTGTGTAGTAAAAAACAACACAGGAAAGGCAGATATATTCAGCTAACCGGAACAGGTTATTCCATCTGGTTGTCTGTGAATCTCCAAGTGTATGCCGCGGCAGTTCGACCAGTTCTGCCATACGGAGCAGAAACTTGGCCATTAAGGAAGCAGGATAAAAATAGATTGTTGGTGTTTGAACACCACTGTCTATGGAGCATTGCACGAATCTGGTGGGGCAGCCGGAAGAGCAATAATGAGGTTAGGCGCAGAGTTTTGGGTAACCGCGGTCGCCCACTGGAGTAAGTTGTCGAGATTCATAGATTATGTTGGTGGGGGCATGAGTTACGCATGTCACCAAATGGGTTGCCACGACCAGCGATATTTGCCGAAGCAGGTAGTGAGTGAACAAAGCTAAGGATGGTCAACATAAGACCTGGCACGAGGGTATGAAATCCCTAACCAGGAGACTAGGTCACATAAGCCGCGTTAGGCTTTCTGGTTGACAACCTCGGGATGATCGTAATCGTTAGAGATACTGAATGATATGGCTGCGTATCATGAACAGTGGTGTTTGTGCATCTCAGTTTCTTTGCAATCTTAGACCACTGAAATTCTCCGTTTTCTGTTCGACTCTACTTCCAACTTCCCTGTCTTTCTCCTATTCTCCATCCAAACGGGCAGCGGAAAGATAGCAACCAAAACCGCCGCACGAAAGTGCGTGGTTTATGGTTGTACAAAACTGAAACTGAACCGCTTATTCCCGGTATTGAGGATACACTGCCATGAGGTAGAGAAAGATGTATATGATACCGAGTTCTATTATAATACCCGAGTGCTTCGTCATAGTTTTTACTTTCATCAAGCAAGACGATAACCTTGGCAGACCTGATCAACCGCATAGGAGTTTATTCAACAATAAATTAGGCTGGAATAACTTTTGAAGGATATTATGCGTAAAGCACTTGAGGAGGAATCGGGGATATCTGACAGTTTTGATAAATCCCACTGGAGGCGAAAAATAACGGTGTTTTAACTGACCCGGTATGTGTACAGTCAGTGCTTCGAGAATAAAAAAGACTTCTCGGGGCTTATATAGTTATACTTTTACTAGTCAGATAATACTTGCATTTCAGTTAAATCAGCCATGCAAAAGGTACTGAACGTAAAAAAGGAACATGGTGCCTACAAATTATGGAAGGGGACGGATAGACGGAATAGGTTTTCAATCAACGAGGTTATTCGGAAATTCCTCGATGGTTTTAGTCTGAATAACCAAACCCGGCGCTGAAAATAGTAATGGGGCGGGGGGGGGGGGGGNTTTACCCGCTACCGAACAGATATGAATTGGGATCACGTTGAGGAGTGACAGAGATAAAAATGATTCAATTCTCCAGTAAGCGACTTCATAGGACAGAATAATCACTGAAGTTCAAATTTGCTCAGATGTGAAGAAAAATCATGATCAGTGTCTTTTTCAAATCCGAAATCCAGCTTGATCTTCCGATTAAGTTCTTCTGGTAATTTGATTATTCTTCAGATTAAGATTTAGGCATAACATCTATCAGGTGCACTCCTTTTGAAGGTGTAAATAAACAGTCATCGTGCGACGAAATACAGTGAAGCAAAATTCACTGGTCGCTGCCAAACTCGCAATACATATAAATTTAGTGAGATTGTGTAAGGACGATGGGGATTGAGTCTATTTTTAAGGACAAGAAAGGAAAGTGCCTCTCCATGATCAACAGACACAAAGTACACATTCAAGTCATGCATACGCACGTTTTCAAGCATTCAAGTCCGATAAGGAGTGACATCAAAATCATCACTGCCGTCGGTTTACTGTTGTGACCTTCATTGTCTCCAACCAGCCAGTTACAGAGTCTTTTGGACCCTAACCAGGAAGAGGAGGGACAGATTCTACTTAATCGCTCTGTGCATTTCTTCATGTTTCGTCTCCACGCCATCTGCTGACCTCCACGTGACTTTCTCCAGTCTGCAGCTGCCACTGCAAACAAGGTTTGGTGCGGTAGGCGGCCGTTAGATATGCCCGAAACGTATCTTAACCAACGGAGCCTGTTAAGCTGTATTCGATGCTATAGCAGGTTCTTGTTCGATGCATTCCCAAACACCCGATGACTTACAGCTAAGTTACTAAGCCGCGCACTCAATCACACCTGGATCAGACTACGTAAGCCTTGGTTGTAGAAAACCAATAAGCGACGGGTGTCTTCTACCCGCACATTCAAGAGTTCAACCACAAAGCAGTACTGATCGTACATATGCGCAGTATAGGTGAACTTTTTGACTCGTCACGTCGTCACCACAGGTGTTTTAGTCCTGCGTACGCTGCTCCAGCCTCGGAAATACGTGCGGTTATCTCTTTTGGTGCGTTTGTCACACAGCCACTCAAGCACGAGAAGCAGTCAATTTCAGCTAACTCCTTACCATCTAGTTTCAGAACAGGACTCCGTCGCACCCAGTCTTGCAGCATCACTTTGCACTTTGGAGGTGCAAAGCTCATGCCAAAATGAGTTACGGGACTTGCTTAAGAACTCCGCCTCTGGAACCTCCCATTTCATTTCACATTTCGATCACGATCGCCCCTGTGCTCACATTTGGCACAGATGAAAAAAGCCTTTAAAAGCCAGGCTATATTACTTGGCAGATCGGAACACAACATTTCACAAGTTTTTCGTATGCGGTTTCGTCTGGACTTGCAAGCTGAGGCGTAAGTAATCTGATCAGAGATTCTAAAATAATCTTACCCCTAACCAGATGCAGCGGCTGGGCTGTTTCAGATATGGGCACTTTCCTCCTTTCTTGCACAAAACGCTTAAGTCTACCAAATCATGTGCAAGAAAACCAAACCCCTCTAACCACGTTGAACGCGCAATGTTTTTATTACACACTGGTGTATGATGGAAAGCAGACGGGGTGGACCCCATAGTCGCGAAGAGCTGCTGTTCAGGGATGACGACCGGTAACCTTCGGCCCGGGACTTGGGGTGGCGAACAACTTAAAGCCCCATTAGATTATGCACGGTATTGAACCGGACGACAGCAAAGTTGCCTATGAGCAAATTTAGGTGGCCGTGGCGGGGCTCGAACCTCGGACCATAAGGTCCAAAGCACACCGGTGATAACGACTAAACCAATGCGGCACCACCGGTCTAGTCCGGCATAGGGAATAATGGCTTAACATATCTTCCCTCGTCCAAAAACTCTTGATTCATTATAGTTGAAATCCGATAGGCGAAAAAAGCTGTTTTTTGATGAATTCATCAACTGGCCATTTACATTTATATAGGTAGGGCATTTAGTATCGTTTAATCCTATGCGAGGTGGATCTTATTACCCTATCTACAAAGCGATCCTACGTGCGTCAACAATTTGATTGAGTTTCCCCTTGGTTACGATGTTTTTCCAGTTACCACGTTCTTATCGGTTGGTTGCTTTGTGACTGGTCATGGTAGAGATAATCTATGGATGAGGCGCTTCTGATTGCATAGTGGGGATAAACAGTTTGATCGCAATTGTTTCACCCGCGCACAGAAGAATAAAGCGTAGGGATTGAGATGATAACGGTGGCATACAATAAACGGTTCCGAACGCTCAACTTACGTCTACTTGTGATTACTTTCGAGTAGGTGGTGGCATATCGTGCTTCTGGCTCTCTTCGTTTCTCCGCGAGGGTAGGGTTCTTTTATTCTCTTTGACAATTCCCTTGTCCGGCCTATGTAGCTCGCTCCCCTGGAGCAAGTAAACAGATGGATACGGCCTGAGGGAACAATCTGTATTTGAGATGAAAACCAATTACAGGTGATGTGGAGAAACTGATGCGTAGTTCTACCGAAGTTCTCCTTAGTGTTCGGTTTACTGTTCGTGTGACGCAGGCCGCTTCCTTGTCGCCCTTATACGGTACTTGCAGGTACAGGAGTTTTCTGCTTATTGTACTCACTCCTGGTTTCTCCGTTTTTTCTGTTAGGTATTTGTTAAGAAAGAGATCCTGATACTCATTCTTTCATGATGTGTTTCTTATTTGCTTCATTTCGCCGATTGGGATGGCCAGAGTGCAGATTCATTGTAATTCTATGAACAGCTTTGATTTGACTAATCATGATGCAAATAATTCGAGCACACTTGTGTTCTTGGTTCGATTTTGACCTGGACTGATTCGTTTACAACGTTGATGAAACTGAACAAGATCGAAACGCTTGCTTCCTAATTTTTTTTTAAGTTCACGTTCCCATTATTTTTGATGAGATGAAATTCGTCATGAATTGAATCATTCTTCCCTCAGGGATTTCATCTTCTTGACTCCTTCCGTTCATACTCCAATAACATGCTTACGGGGCATGCTTATTCTTCTTTCCCGTTTCCATGGAACTGTTTAGTTTCCACGATCAACTGTTGAAGCCAGATTCGCTAGATTTTTATGGATATTGATAAAATCACTTTTTCATCGGAAATCTTAGATTGTTAGGAATGAGTGACCAGTGAGTGACGTCGTTGTTGGAGACCATTCGGATTTCATGGTAATTTGTATCAGGTTATTTCTGGTCACGCCTTAGCGGTCGTCACGTGAATTTTTGCCCTGTGATTCAATTTCGGTTAGACTGATTGCATTAGGTATTTTTATTTGATCACGTTCCTTGTTCACGTGACATTTTGAAGTCGGGTAGCTATGCGATTAGCACTCACTCATTCGTTCTTTCTGTGTACTTAGGAATTTCAGAGCGATCAGTTTTTTCAGTGTCTACTGCTAAATAATACAGAATGTGTACTTTAACCGAATCAACTGTATCGCAATGTTATGGAGTATGTCTTATGCAGCATACGCGAACCTTTTTGAAACCGAAACTGCACCCGTGTGTGTGTGTGTGTGTGTGTATGTGTGTGTGTGTGTGATCAGTTCAGCATTACGGTTGCGAGACCCTAAATTTACGCTTGGAAGATATTCCTCATCTAGGAGTCTTCGACTGTCAATGTTTAAGTAGTTTGGCGCGCGTTGGATGAAGCGAGCGTGTAAACAACTCTGAGGTAAGATGTCGCGTGTTTGATAATAATTTGATGGAGAATTCCTTGTCCCATCGATTTCAGATCAGTAAACTTCGCTCGTTAGGACACATACTCAGCAATCGTCTACCGCACCGCGCCTTACAGTTACGGCTTCATGTTGAAAGAAACTACGTGGAGGTTACCAGATGAAGTGGAATCGAGGCATGAAGAAATGCACGGAGCGATTAGTTAGAATAAATGTCTTCCAGGTTGGGGTCCAAAAGACTGTGATTGGTTGGAGATACTGAAGAATATGACAGCGGACCGACAGCACTGGTGTTCTTGTTGTCATTTTTTATCAGACCAAAATGTTTGAAATGGTGTGTATACTGAGTTCGATTGTGTACT